TACTTTTCCTTTCTAAGAATTGGACAAATAGACCTTGATCGATAAGGGCAGAAGTCAGAAATTGAAATCGGAACACCCATTGTATTCTGCCTCGATTGAACATTAGTGACAGAAGGAGTTTGGGCTCTATCTAGCCAACATTGCAAACAAGTTGGACTTTCTCAATACTGGGAGGGGATACCACCATTGATAGTTGCTCCTCCAAAGTATATTCTAGGAGGATAGGTCTTTCCAACTGCCGAAGAAGGCCGAAGTTAGGCAGACAAAAGTACAAATAACAACACGGCAAAAGGGAATTAGCTCTTGGGTAGACATGGTCTTGATTAATGATGATTTGCTTTTAGAAATTTCATTTGGTTTTATCAATTAGACGACCAATCACGTTAGCACTTCCATTCGCTTGCTAGCTCAGACAAAGACGAACAAAATGATTAATTTGAAAAACATAAAGTTTGATGACCAAATTAGAGCAAATTAAAAGTTGATAAATTGAAACAAACTTTTAAGTTCGAGGACCAACACGTTTTTAACCAAATTGGGTCACTATACTTTCAATGAAATATGAATCAAGTCACTAAATTTAGTTATCTCAATTGAGTCACTGAACTTTAATTAATTTTCAAATTGATTCAAACTATAATTTAGTTTCAGATTTCACCACTGCATCACATGTTGCCTCCAACGTTGATAGACATTGCAAAATTTAATTATCTCAGTTGGTTCACTAAAATTTAATGTAATTTCAAATTTCACAACACCGTCAAATGATGTTTTTTAAATTGATGAAATTTACTTAATTAACAATCATACTGCAATGTATCATCCATGTAATCGTTGTGTGTCATGTTGATTTACCACCACACCACATTATAAAGTGTTATAATGATAAAAAGGAAAAAAATGTACTTTTCGTCGCTAACCTTTGAAATATCTAACAAATCTAACATCGGAACTCATCTTTATATTTCAATTATATAATAAAATTCGTCATCATTTCCATTTTGGACATCAAATTATGGATTTGCCATCCTCACAAATAAACAAAGTTAAAAGAAAGCAATAACATAACAACAAATATAAAAAAAAAAAAATTGAAAAGGGAGGCACCCAACTTTTCAAAAAGAACAAATTGATCTCACTTAAAATAATTAAATACATATTAATGCAAAAATGAAAAATAATTAGAAAAAGTAAATATTTCATCTTCCCAACCAAGCTCACCCCTCCCTCACCCATGATTAAATACCATCTCCACAAATACAATTACTCTGTGACTAAGATAGTACCACTACTCACATCGCCCCTAAAAAATTAGTTCAGGAAAACAATATTTTTTTCCAAAACCTCCCTCACAACCCACCACAGTACTGACAGTAGTATAACTACGGGCAATGAACACCTCATCAACCCTCCATCATCTATTTGCAAGAACCAAATCGCAACCTAGATCACAAAACTCAAATGTAACCTCAAGTAAAAACACCAAAAATCACATCTGACCTCTACATATGCAATCACATCATTGTCGGCACCAACATTCTTCACCTTTCCAACTAAATATTCCACCAATTTTATTCAATTAAATCTCACCTTCAATATCCATTTCAAAATAAAAAAAAATATAGACAGACTATCTTTCAAATTGTATTCCTAAAAATAAAAATGTGAGAAAATATGCTTATTGTAGGCTACTTTTCTTTTATTTGGAATGGGAGTTTTGAACAATAAATAGAATGAGAGTATGAAAAATTCTTACTTTGGTGAGACTAGAGCAATTAAGGGAATTTTGTTCATCAATAACAAATACAAAAAAGTGAGATTTAGTCATCAATCAAGATTTGCCATTTAAAAACAAAAAAAAAAAAAAGGGCAGAACCTTTCCTTTAGAAGGCCTTTATAATGAATTGTCCAAGTAACAAAATTGGAAGTGCGTTATTTATTATGGATGAAGGTAGGATGGAGCTAATAGTAATGATGATGTGATTACACTTGTACCGGTGGTAGTTGTCTGTGGAAGGGGATGGAGATGGATTGGTGGGTGAGTTTAGTTTGGGAAGATAAAATATTTTCTTGGGCTATAAAGTGGCAATGTGGATTGTGGCGGTGGACGTGGTGGTGGGCAGTGGGGTGGGTGATCATGGTTTGAATTGGGGAAGAAGACATTTTTTTTCTCTAAATTATTTTCTTTAAAGTTTTTGTGTGAATATGTATTTGATTATAATAATTGAGATTTATTTTTACTTTTTGAAAAGTTACGAAACTTAATTTTCAATTTTCTCTAATTTTTAATATTT